GGCCATGAACTTGAGCGACCGGCCGCAGTATTGATATAGATTATTACTACGGTGAACCCGTGGTTGAAATATACAGCGGCTGTATTCTTTAAAGTATGCGTAAACGACAGAAGTACGCACGGATTCTGAAAGCCTGGAATCCAGTGATCAATATGGTTGCAATTACACACGCGCGGGCGTCAAAGAGGCAAATGTCCGCCTTGATAGTAATATTTTTTGGCATGTAAACCTATTCCAAATACATTTTTAAACTATTCAAATAATGAAAGTTATTGTTGTTTGTTGAAAGCGTTTATTAGCGTGTGGGAACTACCAACATGGCCGCCATCTATTCAAATGGGGTAACCGCTGGAATATTCTTGACTTCAATTTTACTAAAAGAGATGCGTTATCTATAGTGTATATAACATATCTATGCGTATGAGGCAGGGATAGAGAGGGGGCAATTGCACCCCCAAAACTTTAGGAAATCATGAAAATTCGGGAAAATGCTCAGAAAAATTAATCCTCCGAAAGAATTCGGGTAAACTTATCTAACTTAACTAATCCCCGCCCCCCCCCTCCCTCCCCCGGAAAGCACCAGCTCCGACAACCTTGTACGTAGGCTTTTTTCGTAGAATCGAAAGAGCATGGGTACGAGGTTGCATTCGGTACTTAAAAGGACAGCCGCTTAATAAGCCCACAAAATTTGACAAGTTGAAACAAATGGCATGCTGGTGCTGCATTGGTTGTCTTTACTTAATTTTAAACAAAGGGCTGTTAAAATTAGTAGTCGCTACTCGCAACAGGAGAAATGGCCGGCGACTATATAATTGCTCGATCGCGGATATTTTGCAATAGCCAGTATAAAATCTCTCACGCAATCAGCGCTTTTAGGAAATAGTATAGGAAATAGTATGTTTTGTGAGCCGCACAGTGTACAATATGGTGACTGTTACGCAGTATGTTATGACAGCTACGAAATTCAAAACCACTCACAAGCGACAATATCAATTACAAATTTGATATTATACTATATTTGCTAAATAGATGTTCTCGACAATCATTGTTTACATGGGCTGATCGAAATGTTATTCAAATATAACTTGTCATAGTATCATTTGTTACTTGTCAGATCAACTGTTACTACGAATAATATCATTAATATAGGAAGGTATGAACTACAGAAAGCCTATCGAGTTAGGACTGTTTTTCTTTCTTCAAACCATCTCTAAACTCACTGTAATCTTGAAAACCCGTCTCTTTTGTAACAGTTTCATTCCACATTATTTGAACAGCTTGTTTGGTACCCTCGTCCATCATTTCCCGTCCTTTTGTTGCAGAACCCGTAGCAACACGTTGAAGTCTGACTCCTTCTGGTATTCCCAACGCTTTATTCCGATAACTTGACAAGAGGTTGGATGCGAACTTGTCTCGACTTTGCTTCATGAAATCAAATGTGCTCATTCTCACAGCATTTGTTATACTAGCTTCATCGTCAATACCCATGAACGATGCAACGGCCTTCACTGCACTTTCTAAGTCATCCAACATATCTTCGTATAGAAGAAACAACACATTCGGATCATTTCGTTTTGGCCACCAGCTCAGCAAATGCTGGAAGTAATTCTGATGCATCTTTTCATTTGGGGAAATCATATATTTTACGAATTCATCAAGCGTTATTTCTCCTGGTTGAAAATGTTGTCCTTCGAAGAAACTGAATGCACTGTACAATGATGCACAAGGCTCCCGATAGACAACAATATATTTTCCGCCTTTAGGACAGACTTCATACCCAGCGTGCGTCTTGAAACATCTAGGCTGATATTTGTGTTTGGCATCGAGGTCTTGTCCGACATCATAAGCCAATTCAATCCATGGCACAACTTCGTCGATATCTGTAAAGGTCATATCACCTCCGCTACGCAGTTGATGCATAATCTGTTGGATCCATGTTGTGCCACATTTCATTGGTGTAGCAACAAGAACATCACTTGATCGAGGGACGAAACTTAAGGCCTTCTGCCTGCCTTCGTTTGTCATTAGACGTGACCTTTTCTGAATCATCAGTTCCATGGCTGGATTTCGTGCCTCTGATGTCGACATTCTAATACATAAAAAATATTACAGCCTTTCCCAAATAGTATGTTCACTTGGTACGTTGGTTTAGACTTGATATGTAAACAAGTGCATTACTTTAGTCATCATATATGCGAGAATTGCATAATATCGTTTAGGGCAAGGTCAAACGAGAAAATCCGGAATGATATCAGGAGTTGATAAAACCGGGAACGGAAAGAGCCAAACACCTACCTGCTCTGCAGGGGTTTTCTAAAAATAGTTACGCCAAAAGTACATGTACAGTATCGGCGCGTACATGCATCTGTTGAGTGGTTATAACTTGTGAGTGAGTGAGTGAGTGAGTGAGTGAGTGAGTGAGTGAGTGAGTGAGTGAGTGAGTGCATTGCAAGAAAGGCGAAAATCCCAGCAGATGAATGTAAATACGAGGGCTATAAGGAAACTCTCAAAAGACTGGAATAGCCAGCAAGGCCCAGCATAAACACTTATACCGATTCGTGATTATATTCGTGTCATAAAGCCATGATAAGTATGTGAGTATTGCATGATATCGTTCAGGGAAAGGTCAAACGAGAAAATCCGGAATGAGGAGGGACCGAGGATGGAAGCCATAGCGATTTCAACCTCGTACCCAGCTATTTCTCGGTCCATTATCTGTTGTTAAAATGTCGGAAAAGGTAAGATAATTTAATTCATAATAAGCATATTTATAGAGCTTTTTTTACGAAAAAAACAAATATACATCAATAATTTGAAATAAAATTAATATGTACGTGAGCATATACGTTTGACTATAGTCTGTTTAAAAAACGCTTAATGCGAAGAAGATTGCGTAATTTTCGCTATTTCTTTATCCGAAGCTGTGACCTGACGTTAGTATAGCATTTCTTGTAATTTTTGACCCTCTACATTTTACACTCGATATTTTATCCTCGTCACTCGACCAATAGATAAACTTGAGTTATTATTATTATTATTAATGTTAAACACTCCCAAAAGGGTTTTTCAGTGTTCATTACAAAAGTCATAAGAACTAATTACTTAAATTAATTACGTATATCTTTATTAAGCTTAACTGACCGCTGATTCACTTAATTGACGGAAAATGACAAAAGTAGTTTCGAATTATCAACGTAAGACTTCATACTTAAGAACCATCATTTGGTGCCATCGGTAGATAATTAGCCTAATATATATTTAAAAGAACATGGGACCGAGAATTGAGCCCTGCGGAACACCATAATTGAGTGTGCGTGTTTCAGAAAGAGTCGATCCAATACGCACTAGCTGCCTGTTGACGTTCTGTCAAGTAACTTTTAAACCAACATAAAGCGTCATTGGAAATTCCTAATGCTTGGAGCTTTTCCAAAAGCAACGCGTGATCTATACTGTCAAAAGCTTTAGAAAGGTCTAATAGAACTAGAGCTACGACCTCGTTGTCGTCCATAGATTTCAAAATCTTTTCCGATATAAATAAATTCAATGTTTCAGTGGAGTGCAACTTCATGTTTCCACTTTGGTGCCACTCTTAAGCATTTCTTCCCGGTTGCACTTATGCAGTAAATTGTTCCAATCGAGTGCATCTATGAAGCAAAAAATGATAAAGGTTGAATAAGCCATTAATACTAACCAGAAATATAATAGTTTTATGTTAGAAAATTTTCGTGATTATAAAATAACTATAGAAAATTAAATACATGGATGCAGAAACACTCATCTTACTGACAAAACCATTATATTTTCCGAACATGAAGTATTTAAAGTGGTTGTCAACTTTTCATGGTAACATCGCAGAGTAAGTATACTACGTTTGGAGGTGAAACTCTGGCCGAATTGTGTCACACGCTTGACCGCGCATGCGCGAGCGTTTGGCGAGTGTAATGCACAATTTTATAAATAAGGCGGAAATAAATAGGAACAAATGATCGAACTTTTCAAACAAAAATAGATATTTTAAAAACAATATTTGGTTAAATGTGCTATTGTACTCAAAATTTTACGAAAGAGGAGTGGACGTTCTTAGCAACAAATGGGCTTAATACAGCTTTGATGGAGCCGAAAACGGAAAAACGTATTTGAAAAAGTACCAGCTGGTGTGTTTTGCGAGCTCAAAACTTGTTTTCACTTGCCATACCAGGGACAATTCATTCAAATAAACTAATAAAAGTCAGGATTAATTTAAATGAGTATAAATGGCTTATCTGTTTCTGGCGACAAAATCAACTTTTAGTAAAAAATTAACGTATTTGAATATTTTCTTTCCACCTCGTATGTAAAACAAATTAACTAGGAAAAAATATAGCTTTCGAAGGACAACTTTAGAAATGAACAGTCTTGAATTGTCAAAATATGGTGGACACAACTCAAGGACAAATAAAAGCTGTCAAAAAGTTCTTTGTCAAGGACAAATAAAGGCTGTCAAAAAGTTATTAAATGTACTTATTAAATAGACAAAATAGACCATTTACTGTTACTACTGATAATATGCCTCGGAATATGAGGACAAAAAGCACAAAATGCTCTAAAACGGCTATCGAACGGCCTTAACTTGCCACGACTAGACCCAGAACTTAATTTGGGAAATGGCTAATTAGAATCATATATCACTACGTTTGAAATGGCGTAGCTGATGTACCATTTAACTAAATTTCAAATGATGCGAGCCAACAGATCACGACACTTTGGTATATAAGGGCACAGAATAATGACACACAGAATGTCAACTTGAGTAACCGCTGCCATGTCATGATTCATCATCAAAATGCTGACGTCATGGTTCCGGTCAGTGTGCGATTGAGAGGCACTCCCCCTGAACGTCAGCCATTTTGATGATTATCAGTGGGGCGAATGCCTCTCAAACGCGCACTGCAGCTAGGACCATGGCGTCAGCATTTCGATGACGAATTACGGTTACGCCAAAATCATTAGAAAATCATAGGAAAAACCAAGAAGTGCAATTGGGCTTCTGTGTAGTCTATTCTGTGATAAGGGCGCGTGTGAATTGAACAAGTCGCATATTATTAGCACTGATGAAGATCCGGGCTTACGGATCGAAAGCTTTGCAGTAATAAATTTACGTGGTGTTCCACAAACAAAAAGTATTATAACATGGCGACTGTTACGCAGCATCCTATATCACAGCTACGAAATTCAAAACAATGCATGCACTCACAAGCGACAATTATATCATTTATGCAAATTCTGGATATTTATATACTATACTTGCTAAATCGATGTTCCCGAAAATCGTTGTTTATATATGAGCTGATCGAAATGTTATTTAAATATAACTTGCTATAGTTGACATTTGTTAGTTGTCAGATCAATTGTTACGTTGTAATTACTACGAATAATATATTAATATATTAATCTAGATATGTATGAACTATGGAAAACCTATCGAGTTACGCCGGACTGTTTTTCTTTCTTCAAACCATCTCTAAACTCGCTATAATCTTGAAATCCAGTCTCTTTTGTAACAATTTCATTCCACATTCCCTGAACAGCTTGTTTGGTACCCTCGTCCATCATTTCCCGTCCTTTTGTTGCAGGACCCGTAGCAACTCGTTGAGATACGACTCCTTCTGGTATTCCCATCGCTTTATTCCGATAACTTGATACGAGGTTGGTTGAAAACTTGTCTCGGTTTTGTTTCATAAAATCAAATGTGCTCATTTTCACCGCATTTGTTATACTAGCTTCATCCTTAATACCCATGAACGATGCGACGGCCCTCACTGCACTTTCCAAGTCATCCAACATATCTTCGTATAGGAGAAACAATACATTCGGATCATTTCGTTTTGGCCACCAGCTCAGCAAATGCTGGAAGTAATTCACACGCATCTTTTGTCGGTTCATTATATTTTTCACGAATTCATCAAGTGTAATTTCTCCTGGTTGAAAATATTTCTTCCCGAAGAAATTAAATGCACTGTAGAATGATGCACATGGCTCCCGATATAGACAACAATATATTTTCCGCCTTTAGGACAGCCGTGTGTTCGGCATCGAGGTCTTGTCCAACATCATAAGCCAAATCAATCCATAGAACAACTTCGTCGATATCTGTGAAGGTCATATCACCTCCGCTACGCAATTGATGCACAATTTGTTGCATCCATGTTGTGCCACATTTTGATGCGGTAGCAACAATCACATCACTTGATCGAGGGACGAAACTTAACGCCTTCTGTCTGCCTTCCTTTGTTATTAGACGCGACAATCTCTGATTCATTAGTTCTATGGCTGGATTTCGTCCCTCTGATGTCGACATTATAGAATGATAGTACAGCTTTTCCCAAATGATATTTTCTTTCGTTGGTTTACTGATGAAATGCAGTCGTCGATCACTTGAGTATTGCATAATATCGCTCAGGGCTAAATCAAACGGAAAAAAACCGGAATGAATCTAGGAATCTGTAAAACTGGGAAGGCTCTTATTACACTGACCTGTAGGCCAAGTGCCTTTTATATCCCTCTTTTTCTGTTTTCTTTGTCGTCGAGAAATCGAGTTTGCGTCAGCACTTGTACGCACGCGCACAATTCTGAACTCCAAGGAAAGAGTGCTCTAGTAATATATTCAGTTCAGTTTCAAAATGGCGGTTTTTCACTGAGCGATCTAATATATATTGTCAGTAATTCACACAGTTGAGACTCGTACGTTGAATTTTCAAAGAATTGTGCCGGTTTCCTATGGAAAATACGTTGTGTTGCACTCTGGACTCTCTTGCGTGTTGAATTGATGTGTTTTTCTTTGTGTAACGACTCGAAAACCCCAAAATTTGGACCCAGCGAATTTATACAATATAGTGGATAATTTAAGTGGAATATAAACAAGGACAAGTTTAAGGTTTGACAGTTTGACTTTTTAAATAACTAGGTTATCTTAGAGGTAGTGAATGCTGCCTTTTTGTCAGATGGCGGCAGAGCCCCCAAATGTCCTCACAGTCACTTTTTGCAGGGCTATATGCCACCTCAAATAATGTTTACACTTTTTGAGTTGTTTTGTTCTTATTACATGACATTACGTCATAATTTGTGAATGAACTTCATGTAAATATTAAAAATAGCAAAACTAAAAACGAGGATACCACGTTAGGGACCAGTCATTATTAATGCCGGGTAGGGGGCCGGAGGAAATTTAGAGGGGCCACAAAAAATTTTTGACCAGTGAGGGGGGGGGGAAGCAC